AGCTTGGTAGTTTTTATTTGTTTTTTGTTGTGTTAGTTGTCTAGTGAGTCTTGTTTTAGTTTCTAGCGTTGCTAGCGTCGGGATTCTAGGCAGTCGTCTGACTTGTCCTCCCATTTTATTCAGCATTTGGTTGTTTTTTATTCTCCCGTTGGGAGCTTTGTATTTTGATTCGCACATTTGTGCCTTGATTTTTTTATATAGATCCTCTATCGTTTTGGCCAAAAAAAAAATCTTAGATAAAATGTGGAATATGAGTTAAGGTATATAGATAAATATTGTTAATGTGATTATTATGTTTGAAAATGATAATAGAAGAAAGCCACTTATTAAAAAAATATAATAATGTTCAAGCACAATCTTAGATAAAATGCGGATTATGAGTTAAAGTATATAGATAAAGATTGTTTAATGTGATTATTATGTTTGAAAGTGATAATAGAAGAAAGCCACTTATTAAAAAATATAATAATGTTCAATCTCAATCTTAAATAAAATGTGGATTATGAGTTAAGGTATATAGATAAATATTGTTAATGTGATTATTATGTTTGAAAGTGATAGAAGAAAGCAACTTATTAAAAAATAATAATGTTCAAGCTCAATCTTAGATAAAATGTGGATTATGAGTTAAGGTATGTAGATAAATATTGTTAATGTGATTATGTTTGAAAGTGATAATAGAATAAAGCCACTTATTAAAAATTATAACAATGTTCATTATATAAAGCTACTTAATAAATTACATTATATCATAAGATACAATATTGGTTTAGGGTTTAGGGTATGTGAAGGGGGTATGACACTTTTATTCGAAAGTTATTTTTTATTTCTTTCATCTTTCAGTTATGCGAGGGGGTATGCTAATTGCCGCATATTGCTCGCATACTACCCCCTTTTGCACTTGTACTCGAAAGTTGATTTTTTATTTATATCATCTTTCATTTATGCGAGGGGGTATGCGAATTACCGTATATTGCTCGCATACCCCCTTCGCACTTCTACTCAAAAGTTTATTTTTATTTCTGTCACCTTCCAGTTATGCGATGGGTTATGCGAATTTCCGCATATTGCTCGCATACTACCCCCTTTCGCACTTCTACTCGAAAGTTGATTTTTTATTTATATCATCTTTCATTTATGCGAGGGGGTATGCGAATTACCCTATATTGCTCGCATACCCCCTTCGCACTTCTACTCAAAAGTTTATTTTTTATTTCTTTCGTCTTCATTGTTTAATTTAGTTTAATTTTTTTCTTTCAGGTATGAGAATATACTCATACATACATATAACAAACAACAAAATGCAACAAACAACAAAAATATAATAAAACGCTAAAAAATAAAAAAAAAACGTACTACATGATTCATTAATAATCTGGGGCGGGAACTGTGTCTCCATCTGTACTAAACTCAAAAATTTCCATAGCCAATTGGCGCCTTATTTTCTCAGCCCACTGCTTGTTAGACTTGGCTCTGTGACTCGTGTTTGTCCCATTTTTGTTGTGATTTTCGTTATCTTTCTGTCTTTCTTTTTCCCCCATATTGAGTCTTTTC